TTGGTTACAGTACGCTGTGAATCCATTGTCAATACTTCACTAGGCCCAATTAAGATCTGCACAGTGAACAGAAAGCTTTCTTAAACCAGTGTAATTCTTCATTCTAACAACAGAATTAAAGCATGAGGCTAAAAACAAGATTTTAAATGTAAACAGTTTATATAGATGTCTATCATACATAATGGCTTATTAGCCCCTTATGCTGGAAACTTAGGCCTAACTTCTTCAGACTCTCTATTTGTGTATGTGTGTGTACCCATCTGTTATTTACTGTCTATTGGTCCATTGATGGAGTATAAGATAGTAATTTTGACTTATTAAAAAACCAACAAATAAATTGTCTGGGACCAACCTATCTGGTGGGTCATATGTCAAATAGTCACAGCTGTGGTCAGTAAGGGTACTTTGCCTTCCTTCTTGCATCTTCTTTAGTCTAAAATAGTCCAAATTTGGTGACCTTATGAGTACACTACAAAAGACATTTGTTTGATAGGATTTTTAAAGAGGGCTCAGAGTAGTCTTCTTGACTGACTGAAATGTGGAAAGGCAATTTTGTAGGTGGCAGGTTAACTGAATTCCTGTTGAAATTACCATTCTGATGCTGCTGCTGGTGTTTCAACATGTGAAATAGTGCACTATAGCAGCCGGAGGCATGGACAAGTGTCTTAATTAGTATTATCTTTCAAATGTAAACAGCAATACTTGAACAACAGTATTCTGCTACTGCAGCTCTTTTCTTATGTGTTATATAGTGCTGCCTATCATTTCTTTGAGTTATAATTAAGGATAGTAAACACCAAACTCCTAAGCAAACACCAAACTGCTAACAATATTCTGTATCACATATTTTAAAACAAACACATACTACTTTGAAACAGTTTATATATTTTAAATAACTGGTAGAATTTGTATCCTTCCTTTCAGACATGCTTCAGATTCAGTTTATCTCATCAGCATGTGTGCTGTTCCCACCACATGCCATGGATTGCCAAATGTAAGTATGATTAATAAGAAATGTCAAATAACTGTTGTAAGAAATACAAGTTCAAAAAGGCAGGGTGATTAATACATTGATTTAGATATTAACTTCTAAGTACTTGCTTGCCGTCTGATAATATTTGAAGCTTCAGGAAGATCAAGGATTAAAGCAACTTTTAGTTAAACAAAACGTCTGTCAATTCTAAACTCTGTCTTTCTTTAGAAAGGATACAACAAAAACAAACCCTTTATTCTAAAGTATTTTAAGGTATTTTCAGTATTGAACACAATGCTCTGAAAAAGTTAATGATTGTTTTATTAATTCAGCCATTTTTTCCTAAAAATAAATGTAAATAGAAATATTATTCACTTTTAGTTCCAAAAGCCAAACCTTTATTATACAGCAGAAACTGGTGACTGGTACAGAAGATGCACTAAAATCATATTTGCCTCTAATGCATTCAGAAATCTTGTATTACACTGTTTACCTATTTATAGTTAGGTTAAATAATTCAAATAAGTAATCTGTTCAAGTTACAGAGGCATAATTGCTAACTATTGAAACACTGTATTTTAGAGCAACATTTACCATATATGTAATTCAAAAATCATTCCTAGACTAGCATATAAAAGATATTTTTCACCTAATTTCCTCCTATTTATAGCTAGATGTAAAGAAAGACTTAATGTCAGGCACAGCCTTGTGATAGTGGGCAAGACTTATGTAAGTGGCACCACACTTCCTTTCTCACTAATATCACGTAGCCATAAGTACTTAAGATGTATCTATATTTTTCACACTGCATGTCCTCCTATTATAGTTAGGGCTCTACCAAATTCACGACAGAAGTGGCATAAACTGCAGCTCCTTTAGTCTTGCAGGTTCCCCGAAGCATGTTCCCTGCCACTGACTGGTGGAGGGGCCCTGCTTGCGGCTCATTCCTGATCAGCAGGGAAGCGAAAACTGCAGTTTTAAACATGGCACTGCTTTTGCCTCCCCACTGGTCAGCAGCAAGCAGTGGGGCTGCCAGGGCCCCTCAGCCAATCGGCAGAGGGGAGGCAAAAGTGGTGCCAAATTTAAAACCGTGGTTTTCGCTTCCCTGCTGATCAGGAGCAAACTGAAGGTGGGGCCCCTCCACCAATCAGCGGCAGGGGAGCACATGGGGGCACCTGCAAGATTAAAGGAGCTGCAGTGCACACCACTTTCACTGTGAATTCAGTAGAGCCCTAATTATAGAATTCAAATGCTACCTCATGAAAAGACTAAGAAAAACTAAGAAAGCTGAACTAAAACTAAATTCAGATCACCTGTTCATTTCACACCCATAATGCTGCTTTTGGTCTTAAAGTGTCTGGGTTCTGTATCATCCAGTAAGGGACATAATCTTCTTCACATTTTGTTTTACACTGTTTCTGTGTTAACCATTGCTATCTGTGGAGAAGTAAGCATGGGGTGGGGGGTGAGGGTCTAGGACAGCAATGTTTTCATTGTTTATACGACTGATAATGTACAACATTTCAAAAAAAGGTAATCTGTGCCAACACCTAGACTGCTGCATTGAGGGCTGCCATATTTCACCTGGACAAAACTCAGCTATGCTTACTTGGTAGCTCCCCCTCCCAGTCTTTGACTCCTATAGTTCACTATACTCCTTCCAACGAGATGAAATGACAAAGAATGGTCAGCCTATACCAGGCTTGTCCAACATACAGCCCGTGGGCCACCATGCGGCCCGCCAAGCTGTTTTCTGTGGCCTGAGGTCCCTTGCTCGGGACAGGTGGGTGAGGGAGGGGAGGGGAGCTGCTCACCCCCATGGGGCTGGGCTCGCATGATCTCCCACATCACGTGAGCCGGGTCCCGCCGCCGCACCGAGGGCTACGCAGTGTGGGGCTGCCCCGGACAGGACAAGCTGAGGACAGCACCTGCTTTTACTTGTCTCTGGCTTGGCCCCTTGCCCCCGGCGTCCCGCCTGCCTCCCAGGACCCACTGGGCTCAGTGGCCGTGGGGTGGGAATGGGGTGCAGTGCCTGGCACAGGCAGTTGGCAGGGCAGCCCCGGGGGGTCATAGATTCATAGATTGTAGAGTCGGAAGGGACCACAGTGGATCATTGTGTCCGACCCCTTGCCCCTGGCAGGAAAGAGGACCGAGGTCAGATGATCCCAGCCAGGTGACTATCCAGCCTCCTCTTGAAGACCTCCAAGCTAGGTGATAGCACCACCTCTCTTGGAAGCCCATTCCAGATCCTGGCCACCCTTACTGTGAAAAATTTCTTCCTAAAATCTAATTTAAATCCACTGTCAACTAGTTTACACCCATTATTCCTAGTCACGCCCTGGGGCGCCTTAGTAAACAGCGCTTCCCCTATTCCCCATTGACCTCCCCTAATAAATTTATAGGCAGCCACAAGATCTCCCCTCAGCCGTCTCTTGTGAAGGCTGAAGAGATTCAGCTCTCTCAACCTCCCCCCGTAGGGTCTATCA